GTTGAAGGCTAGTTCGGCACTGATTATATATGTCTGTATAGAGGGATTTTCACATTTGTCTCTAAATTATGAATGTTCTAACACTGACTGCAGATTTATGGTGATAGCAAATGGCATGACTTATTTAAATGGCTCCCACTTTATGACTTATTGTGTTGTCTGAATTTGTCTGAAAGTCTGGAACATACAGACGTCGAGTAATAAAACTTCCCGTAGGCCCTGGAATGCCTCTGTGAAATTATTTAATTGGGCAGCCTGGCTCCGCCAACAGGAGGGCCAGTTAAAAATATCTGAACACAGAGGCAGCCGTTGTCTGTCTCTAGGTTCAAAGAAGATTGTGTTCCTGATTCACAGCTGTCGTCCAGTTCGATCCCCACTCTGCAAGACTCCGACCAGATTAATCCCTTAGTACTTGGAGGCCTGATGAATCAAGTGGGCAGTATCCAGTCCTTCTCGCCAGATCCATGTACACAAGATCTAGATGAGATATCCTGGGGGACATCTCAAGTCGGAGCCCTGGCCCTCAGCCCAAGAAAGCCATGTTCCATGTGACTGCTTCTGCCCACATCTTCCCTAAAAAAGACATGATAAGAACTTCCTCCAGGTTTGCAGGCCCAGATGAGGGATAGTGAGAAGCTCTTCTCAGTAGCTGTCACACGCAGGGAAACAGGGAATATCACCATCACACCCTGCTAACTTGGCACACACGACGTCACCAAACTGTGCTCCGTGCAGCACAAAAACAACTCAGAAACATCCCCTGCCGGGTAGGAGTTAGCAGTCTAAAAGGACCGCACCGAAATGGCCTGGAAACAGAACAGATTTGGTATGGGGGAGACTCGGCAATCCTGTAGCATGAATGAAACACAACTGGGAGGCTCAGTGTGGGAGCAGAAACAGAGATTGTGTTGGATAAGCTGGAGATAGGACAAAAGAGGATATAGGGAGGTGGATGAAAAAGCTTTGGGAAAGTCTGATAAGGCCCCACCGGATGTGGTGGCCAACAGGAACTGTGGAGGTTCTCACGGCATCTGCTATTAGGTCCCTCCCTGGGGCTCACCAGGGATACAACTGCCCTTGTCTGAGATGACAACCACTAAGCTCTCCACACGCTCCTTGGATTTCCCAAGGTCAGGAATCATAGAGTTAAAAAGATGTGTGTGTGTGTGTGTGTGTGTGTGTGTGTGTGTGTAGTGTGTGGTGTGTGTGTTGGTTTTCAGCTCTGTCTGTTGAAAGGACCTAGAGGCAAAGCAAAGACACCCCAAGAGCAACGGGGACACCTCCCTTACATCTTGGTTTCTAACAACATTCCCCACTCAGCAGGGCTTCCTGGAGTCACGCAGATTCCAGCATGGGGCAGGGAAGATTAAAAGATGAGCGTGAAGCACCTTGTTATGCCAAAAGGAAGAAAGTGCTCAAAAAAAAAAAAAAAAAAATGACAGAGGCATGCCAAAGGGACACAGGAGCCAGCTTGAAGGAGCTCCTACAGGCCAATCCAGAGCAATTTTAACACTGAAAATAATTAATACATGGAAGATGAAATACAGACCACTGGAAAAAACAGGCATCCATGTCCAGATTGAGAAGATGACTGATAGATAGAGAGATAGACAGACAGACAGACTGACAGGATATTTGCAAGTCTTAAAGTATCTCCCCACAGATTGCAAGGGAAAGCTCATAGTGACTCTACAGCAGAGACATTTGACAACAGCTTGACCAGGGAATCAACGTGCACATCACCAATGGGGGGAGGCTGGACAAGATCGTGCTTCTGTGTGTGCTGTGATTCCATGAGAAAAACCACATGGCACCTGCCCAGGAGGCTAAGTGGAGATGCACAGCTGAAGCTCCTCAGGAAGGAACATCAACCCCAATGGAGGGTCATTCTGTTTATGGAGGGCCATTCTGTTTCAAAAAGCAGGAGGCTGTGTTCTTCAAAAATGCCCATGTCAGAAAAGACAAAGAAAACTAACTCATTGTTCCAGATTAAAGGAGACTAAAGAGATATGACAATGAAATGCAATGTGTGATTCTAAACTAGGTCTGTACTGAGTGCCCCACCCTGGCACCCCAAAAGAGCTGTAAAGAACATTGCTCAGTCAACTGACAAAATTGGAATATGGACGTTAAATTACTGTAGCAATGTTAAGTTTCCTAAGGTTGAAAACTGTACTGTGGTTATGTACGTAAATGCCCGTACTCTAAGGAAATACATACTGAAGTTTTAGGGGTAACGAGGCATGAAGTCTGCAACTCAGTCTCACATGAAGGGCAGGGAGGGAGGAAGGAAGAGACAGGGAAAGGGAGGGAATGATAAAACACATGAACAAATGTTATCAATAGGTTAATCTGAGCAATGGGTATACAGGTGTTCTCTTATGTAGCTTTGAAATTATTTCAAAATAAGAAGCTAAGAAAATAAACAAACTTAGGAGGAAATACAGTGGGCCAGGTTTCTCACTCTCAGATAAAAGAAACTAAAAAATGGAAAACTGGCCGGGCGCAGTGGCTCACGCCTGTAATCTCAGCACTTTGGGAGACCAAGGTGGATGGATCACGAGGTCAGGAGTTCAAGACCACCTGGCCAAGATGGTGAAACCCCATCTCTACTAAAAATACAAAAAAAAAAAAAAAAAAAAAGTTAGCCAGGTGCAGTGGCAGGCGCCTACAATCCCAGCTACTCGGGAAGCTCAAGCAGGAGAATCCCTTGAACCTGGGAGGCGGAGGTTGCAGTGAGCCGAGATCATGCCACCACACTCCAGCCTGGGTGACAGAGTGAGACTCCGTCTCAAAAAAAAAAAAAAAAAAAAAAAAAAGGAAAACTAGAAAACTCTGTGGTATTGGGCTGAAATTGTAGGTTCAGTGTGAACTCATGGTGAGATAGAGACAGAGATAGATAAAAAGATAAAGCGACGTACCTAGCTACATAAAAATGTGCATGGAGGGTGTGTATAGGCAATACATGCATTTCCTCACTCTCTTCACTAGGGAATGCTAGAATCAATGACACTCTAGGAAGAAGTGGGCATACCTGACACCCAGATCCTATCTCCTCAATACTGTGCTCCGCTGGAAGGAACCAAAGATCCTTGGAGAAATGGCTAATCCAAGGCTGGAGCAGAGAAAGTGCAAGATGAGCCCGGAGTACATTGTGCCTTGTGGAAAGCAATGAATGATGACGCAAATGTCAACAGAAACCACTGCTGGAAGGAACTCCCACTGGCCGTATATGGAACAATTTGAGCATAAAAACAAATTATGATAACAGATACAATCGGTTAAGTAGGAATCCATGATGAGTTCATACTCATCTAAATAAACAAAAATAAATAAAAAGACATCTCTTTACAGTAGAATGCCAACCAATAAATGCAGGAGCCATTGAATTAGAAAAAAATAGCCATTTCACAAACAATAATAAATGATTCAGGCAAAAATTATCACTGGATGCTAAATCTAGCGTATGAAAGCTTGAGAAATAGAATAGCTACCTAAATTTAAAGCATCTCCCTGAAAAATATGTAGTAATTATATGGTAAAAAACAGTAACTTTCAATGGAGAAACCTGACAGACACTACCTTAAGCAAGTGATCGAATCTATCATGCTCAGTGTAACGGGACAAACCAACATCAGAGTCCTCCAGATATGACACGTTGAGAAGACACGTCATTGCTTTTGTGGTATTCCTGCCAAAAATGCATAATTTCAATGTAACCAGGAAGAAATATAAGCCAACTCAAACTGAGAAACAGTCTGCAAAATAACTGGCCTGTACTCTTCAAAAACACTCAGATGATGAACGTCGAAGACTGAGGACCTACTCCAGATTAAAGGCGCCCATAGAGACATCATATTAAGATGCAACATGTGAACGTGGATTGGACTCCAGGGTTTTTTTGTTTGTTGTTTTGGCTATAAAAGACATTATTGGAACCACTAACAAAATATGAACATGGTCTTCAGATTACATAATAGTATTGTATCAATGGCAATATCCTGATTTTAATGATTATGTTATGGTCATATAAATGTTCTTATTCTTAGGAAACACACTGAAATATTTAGGTACAAACAGGCATAATGACAGCAACTTGCTCTCAAGTGGTTTAGAAAAACAGTGAGTATATTTTTAGAGACAAAATTAGAAAGAAAATGTGTTAAAATGTTAACGATTAGAGAATCTGAGAGAATGGTAGACTGTATTATTCCTGCAACTTTTCTGTAAGTCTAAAATTATTTCAAATTAAAAAATACTTTTGCTGACTAAAAATGGAGGACAGATAAACAGCTGTCATGGATGGAATCTTAATGGTGGCTTTGGCTTTGGTGCAGGGCCCACCTTCGTGGTGGGAGAGGGATGTGTGCCGAAGGCCAGATGAGGTAGTTCTAGCTCCAGGAGTGGGCTCTGCCTTTTGCCATGTTACTCCTCCCTCTGGCCTCCCCAATAACCAAGGGTGTTATATATCAGGCCTTCCCAGTAAGTATTCTAATTACTACTAGTACTTTCCACTGCCTTGTTGAGAGGAGTCAGACACTCTTGGGACAAAATTAAAAGCCAGTAACACAGGACTCTCTTAATGCCCATTGTCAGGTTTGCCCTGGGGAGCCTGCTAATCTCTATGCCCTAAAGGCGCCCTAGCCGATCACTTCCTATCGAAATGAATGCAGCTCTTCTTTGCCAAGGGAGAAGGCACCTACAGAGTCCTTTGACATGGTGCCTCTACCTTCTGCTAGATAAAGCCACATGTAAATAGGATGGCTAATTGTTCTACAGTGAAGAAGTACTGTGCAGTTAGGAACAAAAGTGAAGATGAGAAGCTATCTGGTTTGGGGTGATGAGTCTTTGGGAGAACACATCAGACCAGGGCAGGTATACACAGTCATTAACATCGCCCTTGGGCTCAGTCCCACCTGGAAGGGAAGTCCTGGGTAAGGCCCAGTACGGCATCTATTTCCGACCTAGAAAGCCTCTCCCAGAATCCAACCCCAACTTACGGCAGAAGTCATAGGTCCGCCAGGGCCCCACCTCCACATTGGCATTCTTGCAGGCGCTTGCATACCGGGCCACAGAGTCACAGAGCTCTGACTCATTGCCCCCACTCTGGCACAGGCGGAAGAGGCAGGTGCGGTAGTAGGCAGTGACGTTCACCACCCCATGGCACTCCAGGAAGGAGCTGTTGGAGGGGTCGTTGATGATGCCACACCTGGAGCGGCTTCGATAGAACTTGAGCAGCTCGGAGTCATTGTTGCAGGCCTTCAGCAGGTCCCCACACTCCCCGTTGCAGATCTCCTCGAAAGTTGTCCAGCTTTCCAGGAACACTGCCAGGTTGTCTGTGCACTTGCCATTGGGGAGACAGAACTCATCACTGATGTTGGCGTTGAAGAAGCCGCACAAGCCCCCCGTGCAGTTGAAGTATGTGGTGGACAGCCGGATGTACAACAGACCTACGTCTGAGTACTGGACAGTCACCACGCCCCTGGACTCCACTGTCGTACTGTTTTTGTTTCGATAAATTTCCAGCTTCCCCGAAGGATGGAAAAAAGGCAATTCCACTTCCTGACCATTCAACTGAAAAAGCAAATCATTCTTATCATTTCCAGGGACACACAGAGGACACCCCATTTCCTAGGCTGTGGGATAAAGACATGGTCTGCCCTATTGCTAGCCTTTTGAGAGAGGTCAAGAAGCTGATGGAACCCACACATTTCTTTCTTTTTGGATTCCCCTGATTAGACCCATTTGCTGTTTATATGTATGTTCTGGACCCAAAGCTAGCCCATAACAAACTAAACTGAAAGGTGAGCAAAAATCGCCTTAGATACGTGGCTCCCTCCTGCTGCCTGGCATCTCTGTTTTGGTACCTTTCAAAACAATTCCCCTCCTTTCCCGCCTTTCTGGCTCCTTTTCTCTTCCAATCTTACTTTTCCTGTGTCCCAGCTCCTCCAGGGCACATAGGATATCTCTAATGATCTAGGTGTCCATTCATCTATCTACTTCCTACTAGTCTATTAGCAAATAAATCTCTGCCAATGTGGCAATGGGAATAAAAACACATCCCTTCCAGTTTGTGGATGTGTATTTTATTATCTCCTTGGGCAGTACCGTGTTGGGTTTTGTTTTCCAAACTAGACTTCAGGTGACATAAAATGCATATTGCATCCCAGTTCTGCAACAATTAGCTGTGGGACCTTCACTTACCCTCTTAGTATCTTCATGTGAAATGAGGAGCTGCACTCGATAATTCTCAAGATTCCTTCTAGAGCTAAGGATCTATGAGTCTGGGTGCCTAATGATGGGTTTTTCAGAGCAGGTCAGAGGGGTGGGAGTCGCCCCTTACATCGTCCCACATAGACTGGCATCTACAGGCAGGGGAGTTAGTAGGGTGCAAGGGTTAAGAGCACAGATTCCAGAGCCAGCCAGGCGGGTGTGAATCCCCCTTCACAGTTATGTGTCCCTGTGGAAGTTACTTAGCCTGTCTGCTCCTCAGCTTTCTCATCTATAAAAAGAGGATCATAAGATGAAGTGTGATACTGCTTATAAGGAGCTTAGAATAGTGCTTGGCACATAGTAAGTGTTCTGTAAGTATTTGCTATTCCGGAGAGCTGGTCCTGCTCTAATTGGAGAAATCCCAGCTGCATGCCATTTCTCCACCTGATAAGTCTTATTTGGTGCAGATCATTAGAAAACACTCCTGGTTGCAGCCATCTTCTTCCCAAAATCCACTCATAGCAGAGGCAGATCCTCCTCCTGGCTAGACGTACCAGGAACCCCTCCAAAGGAGCAAGGAGCCTTACCTTGACTTCCGAAGCCCCGATGCCTCCTATCTTGACCTCCTGGTTGGCCACCAGGATCCGAAGTCCCCGCAGCCAAGCAGGTCCTGCATCAGGCTTCTTCTTGTTGATGTCGATTTCCAAGTACTCTGGGCGCTCAGGGCAGGTCTTCAGGAGGGTGTAGGAGAACTCGGAGGGGAAGGCGTAGGCGGCGCCATCAAAGGTGTGCAGCACCTCGTTCTGGCTGAGCAGGCACACGGTCTCCCGCTTAGGGAAGCAGCCCTGGTAGCCGTCCTCCACGGCGCACACCTCCCCGCTGCTGCAGGTCTTGTTGAAGCAGTAGATGTCCCCACCCTCCTCGCACAGGCACTGCACCGTGCAGTTGGCCGTGGCCCAGAAGAACTCCCCCATGGTGTAGTAGTGGCCATCGAAGTCGCAGCCGCACTTGTGCAGCGGGACGCACTGGCTGGTGCTGAGGACGAAGCCCTGGTTGCACTCGCAGCCCTCCGTGCACGGCGTGGCGCAGTTCTGCGAGGCCGTCAGGTCGGAGCACGTGTCGGGGCAGCTGCTGGTGCACACGGAGTAGTGGCTGAAGCTCGGGCACTGCACCGTGGACACTGACGCGGGGAAAGGAAAAGAGCCGATAACAAGGTGAATGGACCCCGACTGCCAACCGGCCAGAATCTTAACGCTCCTCCTGGATTATTTAGTTCCTAGAGTGAGGGTCAAGCGGCCACTCGGGGAAGAGAGAATTGAGGTTGTATCTGTAAAACCCAGCTCAGTGACTCTCCTAGTAACTACTGAGCAGCGTGATTGGACTGTGAACTTCTATTGGAATTTGATCATCTTGACTAAAATTAAACTTTCAGGATGCCATCCTTTCTAGACTACTGATTACCCAATATAGGTTTATTATTTGGTGATCCACACTATCGAGATGTTTTAAGACCTTCCACTGATGGACATATAAATTGATCTGATTTTAAAGAGCATGGCCCATTCTTAGAAGGAAATAAATCCAATTTTCAGGAGAAATGAAAAATGTAACCATTAGAGGAGTAATTTGAAAACGTCAAATTTGTAACAGGGAGGTACTTAAAATACCTAAGTGTGACCAAGGAAGATTGTGGGGATGAATTCCCTGGGATTTTAAAAATAAGAAAGAACCTTGGCTATCTCCAAAAATTCAAAGAATTTGTGTGGCTATTTCTCCAGGAGACTAGGCAAGATGTCTTTTAAAGGCCCTTCTTGCCTCAGAAATCTTCGGTTTAATAACATCTGGGCCTACATAAATGTTTGAGTCTGGTTGAATCCAACAAGCAGGGGCTCAGGGGCCTAGTAAACTAGCTCTCTGAATTAAATAGAGTCCATTGCACCAGAATAAGAGAGAGAAAAGAAAGAGAAATGTAGAGGATGGGAAAGTAGTGACACTAGAAAATATCTATCTGTAGCCATTGTAACATTTGAGTTAGATAATTTGGATGCTCTTGGCTTATATAAGGATAAAGAGAAGCCATATTCAGTCTCAACTTGAATCCGAATATGGATGCTCTGGTCATAAGAGAGGCTGGTCAGTCACACAGCAAGAATACAGTTGCTTGTATTGTAGTTTGACCAAAACTCTTAAGAATTGAATCTGATACATGATGGTTTATGTGACTCCAACTTATACTGATAGGAAGAATTCTCCCCCTAGCCTTGGAACTTAAAGAAACCTTTACATCTTCTCACCTCTCTAGTACTCTCAAATGCATGGATTACAATCTTCTATTTACACATATGGAGAAAACCAAGGACTAAGAAGGAAACGAAATCTATTTGTTTTTAAACTGTGTATAACTAGCAAAAGAAATAAATATTTAAGTGGGATACAAGGAAAAAATAATGAGACAACTAAATGGTAGAAAATGCTTAATCCAAAAGTGTAATTCAAAAGAGCCAGGATTTCCCTCAAAGTTGGGGCTTTTCCTAACCACTCTTAACATTTAAGAAAAAGGGCTTCTTTACTCATATGCTGTACTGCTCATCTGCAGCAGTAGCAGGGCAAAAACCCTACAGGGTCTAACAGTGAAGAAGAAAGTGCCAAGGAACAATTGCTGCAGGTTCCATGTGGGAGGGGAGCTGTTTTCCCAAGGGCTAGTTTTGATGACCCAGGCCCACAACTGCATTAACTCAACAGCCTAAAAAGTAGCCACCTCCCCCTCTGGACACCCCACCTCCTCACTCAACTCCGGAGCTGCCATCCCCTGCTAAGGGACTTCTTGCCATGCCTTCCATGTTTCCAGACCAGGTATGTTCATCAATGGGTTCTTGTTTCCTGGCTGTGCTATTAGGTGGGGGCAAAAGCAAAGATCCTTTCACAATTCGTTCTTTGTAATTTGTGCAATTTCAACCTCCCCTTCATTCTTGGGTCACAAGCCTTAACAAGGACATTTGGAGGAGCCCCCAAAGCCTATCCCTGCCCCCTACACAAGAGAGACCTGTCATGGGGATGGGATGCCAGCTTACCACACCCAGTCTGGGTTCGCCAGTCTCCAATTGGAATGCCAAGGGCTTGGCACACAAGAGCGTAGGCCTGGATGGCTTGGCAGAGGAGCGTGCCATTGTCCCTCACACTGCACAGGTCATACACGCAGCTGTGCACAAAAGCAGTGGGGTCCACAACAGTGCCACACTCCCACAGGGGCCCATCTGTCTTGTTGAGGAAGCCGCAGTAGTCAGAGCCAAAGTAGAGGGCTTCAGTGGCAGCGTCACATTGGGTGCAGTTGTCCACGCAGCCGGAGTCGCACTTCCAGTCCGTGTGGTACACACGCCAGCTCTCTCCCAGATCCAGGACAGACATGGCTGGCCTGCCATCCGGGCGGAGGAAGTCATCCAGTGGGTTTTTATTATAGTTTCCACAGAGTCCACAGGTGGAGTTTATATAGGAGCCTGGGATGGAAATGGAGGCGTAGTGCTGGCCATCAAAAGTCACTAAGAGCCCAAAATCTGTTTCCACAGCAGTAGACATGCCACTCTGATAGATTTTCACTGTCCCCAAGTCTAAGGTGACGGGCAAAGAAGTCACTAGGTCATTAACCTGCCAACAACAGTAATAGTGAAAGGCAGGTGAGCAGGCGCCCGGGTTCCAGCAGAGATCAGGAAAGGAAGGCAAAGCAACTCCACACTCCAGAAAGAAGCCACCTAAATGGTCCAGGCTCCAGTGGGCTTCCCTCTGGTTAAGACAAAGGCCCAGGGGAAAATGGAGAGAGCTGCTTGTGGGCTAGCCCAAGCACTGTGTATATGGGCTGTGGTTGCTGTGGCATACCGAGTGCCACTACAGACTCCTCTGGGGACCGTCTGGTTGTCAACCTTTCCTGGCTGGCTCTTGGCTAGCTTCAAATCTTTTCTTCAAAGACCTGTCACCTCCCTTTTCCTCTGCATTCCTCTAAATATCCATTCTTTAAGTCTCAGCTTAAGTCATGCATTTTCCAGGACCCCCTTCCTGCCTTTAGTTCTCCCGACCCCACTCTCAGCTTGAGTGTGTGCTGGGTCCACTGCTGGACACCATTTAGCTTTGAGCCTGTCCTGATGTAGTATTCTCCAAGTGTTGTACTCTGTAACTTCCGTGTATCAGAACTATGTCATGTAACCATTCAACAACACATTTAAACACCTGCTAGGTACCAAGCACTATGTCAGGAACTGAGATGTAAAGGGTTAAAAAACATAATTGCCCCTGCCCCTCAAGGAGCCCTCAGTCTGCTGAAGAAGAGGGACATGCATTGATACTTACAGCACACTCTTTAACTGTGAGTCAATAGAGGATGCAATGGGAGAACAGTAAATGAACGTTGAATCCAGCGTAGGGGAATCACGTAAAGTTTTTAGAATCAGTTAAGTCTAACCTGGGTCTTTAAAGATAAACAGAAGTGGCCAAAGGAAGAGTCGGGGAAGGGCAGAGAAATCCAAGACAAGAGAGCAGGAGGGTGAGGAACAGCTGGGTGAGGTTGGGGGGCAGACACTGAGGTGTTACTGGACTACAGAGGGAAGAGATGGCTGAAAATGAGGCTGGAGGTACAGGCAAGGTCTATTCATTCTACAAGTATGTATTTAGGCCTTTCTGTGTACCTAGCACTGTTTTAAGAGTTGGGGATTAGCAGCAAGTGAAATGAACAAAAATCTCTGCCTCATGGAACTTGTATTTTAGCTAGGGAGACCAACAACAAGCAAAATAAATGAGTAAAACATTTATGTCAGATGAGTGTTAATGCAGAAAAATAAAGAGTAGGAAATACTTTTTTAAAAAGTGCTAAGGCACATATGTTTATTGTGGCACTATTCACAATAGCAAAGACTTGGAACCAACCCAAATGTCTATCAATGACAGACTGAATTAAGAAAATGTGGCACATATACACCATGGAATACTAAGCAGCCATAAAAAAGGATGAGTTCGTGTCCTTTGTAGGGACATGGATGCAGCTGGAAACCACCATTCTCAGCAAACTATCGCAAGAACAGAAAACCAAACACTGCATGTTCTCACTCATAGGTGGCAATTGAACAATGAGAACACTTGGACACAGGAAGGGGATCATCACACACTGGGGCCTGTTGTGGGGTGAGGGGAGGGGGGAGGGATAGCATTAGGAGATAGACCTAATGTAAATGACGAGTTAATGGGTGCAGCACACCATGGCACATGTATACATATGTAACAAACCTGCATGTTGTGTACATGTACCCTAGAACTTAAAGTATAATAAAATAAATAAATAAATAAATAAATAAATAAATAGTGCTAAGGAAAAGGGTTTCTAATTTTAAATAGGGTGGTCAGGCAAGACCTCCTTGGGAAGGAGACATCTGAGATAAGGAAGCAAGCCATGTGGTTATCTGGGGTGAGACTGGCTCTTGAGGAGGGAACAGCAGCCCTAGGTTGGGAGCATACCTGGGTGCTCCCAGGATTACAAGGGGTGTGGGGGACAGTGTGGCTGGAGAGAGACAGCAGGAGAGGGCAGCAACAGATGACGTCAGAGTAAGAAGAGCAGCCAGAACAAGCAGGGCCTGTCGGCCATTGTAAAGACTTTGGCTTTGGCTCTGAGCAAGATGGACAGCCCAGGGAGTGTTTAAAGCAAAGGGTCGGCATGATCTGACTTCTGCTTTAAAAGAATCGCTCTGGCTTCTGTGCTGAGAACAGATCTTGGAGGGCCTTTTAAGCCAACGTTAAAAACAAAACAAAAGTTGGATTTCTATTCTGTAGGGAGAGCCCCTGAAGGCTCTTATGCAAGGGAATGACATCATCAGATTTGTGTTTTAGAAAGCCCCTTCTGGCTAGCATGAAGAACTTGAAGGAAGTTGAGATTAGAAACAGAGAAGCCAGACAGGCAACTGCTGCAGGAGTCCAGGGAGGTGATGAGGCTGAGAGCCTAAACTAGCTGCAGACATGAGAGGGAGGGATGAGCTTATAGAACACACACAGCTGGATGTGGTGGTTTTGCAATGGGGCATGAGAAAGGAGGGAAGAATCAAGAGTGAGCCCCAGGCATCCAGTACGGGTGAGTAAGTGGCTTGATAAGCTTCAAAGAGAGAGTTAATTTTCTTTTTCACACTCACCATGCCTAGCACCTACAGACACTCATGCTCATGGGCTGGGATAGAATAACTTGTCTTAGAACAGCCCTCAGTGGGCTTGACTCTAAGTGCACATAAACTTTCCAGGGTGTCCTAGACCCACACTGATTTCTGGCACATGAGAAAAACAAGGGTCTTACCTGTCATCATTGTAGCTACTTTCTGAGTTGTCTGGGAGATGAGATGATGGTTTGAGTATCCCTTCCAACATTTACTGTGGCAGATGTCACATGCATCTCTCTGTCTTAACTACAATGTAGGCTTTTGCTAGAATGTACTTCAAAACTCTTCCAGCCTCTACCAATTACCCAAAGCTGCTAGCACTTTTTTTTTTTTTTTTTTTGAGACAGGGTCTTGCTCTGTCTCCCAGGCTGGAGTGCAGTGGCACAAACATGGCTTACTGCAGCCTCAACTTCCCTGGCTCCAGTGATTCTCCCACCTCAGCCTCCTGAGTAGCTGGGACTACAGGTGCATGCCACAACACCTGGCTATTTTGGTGTGTATATATATATATATAATTATTTTTTTTTGGAGAGACAGGCTTTCGCCATGCTGCCCAGGCTGGTCTTGAACTCCTGAGCTCAAGCAATCTGCCCTCCTTGGCCTCCCAAAGTGGTGGGATTATAGGTGTGAGCCACTGTGCCCAGACTGCTACCACATTTTTAGGTATTTATTACAGCAGCACCCCACTCCTGGTACCAATCTTCTGTTTTAATCTGTTTGGGCTGCTAGAACAAAATACCACAAACTGGGTAGCTTATAAACAACTGAAATTTATTTCTCACAGTTCTGGAGGCTGGGAAGTCTAAGGTCAGGGGGCTAGCAGATTCATTGTCTGGCAAGAGCCCACTTTCTGGTTCATAAATGGCACCTTCCAGCTGTGTTCACATGTGGTGAAAGAAGAAATGAGCTCCCTCTGGCCTCCTAAGAGCACTAATCCCATTCATAAGGGCTCCACCCTCATGACCTAATCACCTCCTCAAGGCCCCACCTCCTTATACCATCGCTTAGGAGTTAGAATTTCAACGTATGAATTTTGAGGGGACACAGATATTTAGATCATAGCAATGGGGGAAGGGAATAAGAAAATAAGCTTGAGAAATAAACCATCCTGCAGAGAACTAGAAGTGGAAAGAAAAACCAAGGACTTGATTAATTTATTCTTATCTCCTAGGTAGAGGGTTAGCCAAATCTTACTAGCTAACCTTGCCTACAATATGGTTTTTCCTACCATAAGAGAAAAGGGAGAGAAGAGCCATGTTACAGGGAAGGTCAGCTAGTAAGAGTGCTGAACACTTATCCATTGTTCTGTGCTGGTAAATGGAAGGGGAAATCTTCCCCAATGTTGGTATAATTATGAATATCAAATACGTCAACTGCTGAGTGGGCTCCTCTGCTCTTACTTAAGCTCCTGCTAACAAGGGGCACAGTCTTATTGTGTCCCAAAGCAGAAGCCATGGGGTAGGCTGGCTCTGGATATTTCTACAGTCCCCCCACCATCACAACCCCCAGGACCCCAGTTTCCCTGCCTCTGTTCTTGTCACACTCAGGCTAACCTGACACCTGGGTGACTGTGGGTGTCAGTAATGTTCCAGTTCATACCTTTTTTTTCTGGCATACGTGTTCATTTATTGCACCCCCTTTCACTCTCACTATGGAGTCATTGTCCTTGTGTCCCACAGTGCTTAGAGAAGGAGATCCCAGAGAACTCTTGCCCCCAAGTGTAATTCCTTGTTTCATTCCTCTGATCCTGTCCTCAACCTATGGTTAGCAGACAGCTGATAAGCCTCGCCTGTTTGCTTGCTTTTCTTCTGCCTGCGTTCTGGCCATTTCCCTCTTCCACAGTACCTCTCCCAGGATATAGATGGGGGCAGGGGGAGGAGAGAGAAGTGGAGTCACAGAGGCATAGGTCTTGGAACTGAAAGAAAGTTCCATGGGAATGGTCATAGGGAGCCAGCGTGCACCGAGCACGTACTGTGTGCCAGACTTTGTACTGGACATTGCCCTGTGGCTATTCTATTTAATTCTCATAACAGTCTTAGGAGGTCCTTATCATTTTCTCCTTTTACAGATGAGGAAATTGAGGATCGGGGCTGGTATGACTTGCAAGTGACAGAGCCTGAGTCCTCCTAGTCGAGCTCCAAAGCCAGGTTTTCTCCACTTCTCCCTGCTGCCTGTATACCAGTGCTGAGGACAGGCCGCCAGGGCCAGCAACAGCCCAGGAGCCCTACCTCCTAGAGGGCCCCGTCTCACAGACAAAGAAAACGGAGCTCAAACAGGCCACTCAGCTGGCGGTGGTGGCGTAGGGATTTGAACAGGTCCAGCCCCAGAGCTCAAGCTGCTCATTGCCGTGGGCTGCTTGGCCTTGGCTCCCTTTTCACTGGAGCACCCTGAACTACTGGTGTTCATGTGGGAAAGAAAGATGAGAACTGATATTAGCTAGAAGGAGATGCTTCTTCTAGATGGATTTTTACTTATGCTGGCTTTCTTTGGTCCCACTGGTATATCTAATCCTAAACTGTTTATTTTGTTATTTGAGAACAGTTCAATGGGGGAAAATCCATGTACAGAACTCAGCTCCTAATCCTAGCGTATGAAGACAGTGCTAGAGGAAGGGGGGTCTGTGTTTTGGAAGAACAGATCTTAGTGGCCATTTCTAGCCTGGCACAGCGTGGCTGAAGAAGTCAGCTGCCTCCCGGCATCTCAGGCTCCGTCCTGCTTCCCAGCCCTCTCCCTGCCTGTCCCCATATGACCCTGGGTCAGGGCTCTGCCATCCACCAAGCCACTCTCCCCAGCAAGGCAGGTGTATTCAGAGACGCTTGGAAACCATTTGGCAAAAGGAAAAGGAAGCCATTGTTAGCTTGCAGTTGGAGTCACATAACCTTTTCTTTCTGAAACATTTACATTCACATCCACATCTCCCTGTCGCTACAGAAAATTGAGGAATCTGTGCCCTATGCTTGGACGATGGAACAGAGCCACACCAAATTAGCAGAGCTGCTGGGCCTGAAAGAAATGACGGTGTCCCTTTCCTTCTAAAAAAAAAATCTGACTGAGAATGAAAAAGAATTTTAATCAAAATACAAAATAGGAATAAAGCATGAAGCTTTATTTTTCAACTACTGGTATCATACACATCATCCCCAAATACAGGAAAGTAGAGGGAAGCTAGTGAAAAATTTTTCTAGCTTGAAATGCCAGCATCTATCTACAAGGATAAGTATAGTGCTCAACAGCACAATATAAATTTAAAAGGGAAAATCTCCAAACTTCTGTATCTGAACCCTTAGCCTTGATTTGATATACAGAGTTGTCCCTAGAGAGACTAACCAAATAGCAAGCACACTGGCATTTCAACCACAGTAATAGCTCACTTTCCTCATTATGAGACTGATAAACTGCACAGACCTGGGAAAGGCAGAGCCAGCAAGAGTGGAATTAGTTCCCTGGCCCTGCCTTTTGTTGGACATGCTACATCAATTAAAACTACAACACATTTTTCAAAAAATGAAAGAAATCCCTGCATTGGCATCAGTTCTGGTTTGTAATCTCTGTAATGACCTCCATGCCTGGGGATTAAGGATTGCACAGGGTTGCAGCAATCAACCCCTTGTGGTCTTGGTTATTACAGCTTGGATAAATACACAGCTGCAACAAGGTCTTGATTAACATTATGAAAATTGGGGCCTGCACAAATTGAGTAATTGCTAGTAGCTTTTTGCTTTCTCTTTTTTGTTGATGTCCCTGCTTGAAATCCAGGTGGACAGTGACAGGAATTATTTGCACATGCTAAACTGGCCAGCAGAGACCCATGTTCTTCTCTGTTATTCTAGGTGGGAGTTGGGGACTCTATTCAAGGAGTGTCTGGGCAGAGCTTTCATGGGACTTTCCCAGCCAAGCCTCACTAAGGAAGTCACCAAAGCCAATCCAGGTGCCTGCACAGGTAGTGTCTCTAGAGACATCAATTGATTTGGAGGTTTCTCTGAAAATGAAGCAGCAGCTCTTGAGCAAACAGAATTGGGGCTGAGGTGGGGTAAGGATTGTTAATCAAAGGCTGTAGTGAATTGGGGGTTTGTACTGCGTTTGCACCATCCACAGGGCATGACTATGTGGCTACAATTATTGCAAGCCAGGACCATGGGAAACTTATCTCTTTCCAGTTTTTCTGAGCTGTGCATATGTGTGTGTGTGTGTGTGTGTGTGTGTGTGTGAGTGTGTGTGTCTACCAGTGTTTATGAGGGAACTAGGAATATAAATGTACTCTAAGTTTAAAAGCAGATAGGCATGTTGAGGAGAGAGCTTAGGATAGCTCTTGTACACATAAAATTTGGCCCAGTAAAGTATTTTACAAGCTATTTGTAAGGCAGGGAGAGCTGTGCATCTCTTTGGCACTGTAGAGAGACAAACAGCAGAACCAGTAGATCTGGGGAAGTCTTCCCTAGGCTGAAGAATCTCCAGCTTCTCCATTTCCCCGTGAAGGACAGAGAGGGTCTCACCTTGACTTTTCCATAGCTTCCTTTGGGGATGAGAATCTTGTAGCCATTCACCTCCACTGAGAGCTCCTTCACCCAGGAGACGGCTGAACCCCCGCGGTGTTCATTCTTGGCCTCCACACTGAAGAAAGGGAGGCTGGAAGTCTGCAAACACTGTCGGGCCAGCAAGTAGGCACAGGAGCCTTGGAAGTGGAAGAGGAAGCCGTCAAAAGTGTGGTAGTGTGGCTCCCCAAACACCACGCACGTGCTGGTTTCCATAGCGCTGCAGTAGAAGAATTTGCCTTTGGGTTCGCACACCTCATAGGGGCTACAAGAAGCCTCCTGGCAGTAGATCTCATTGTTGAAATCCAGACAGCGGCACTTGATGGTGCAGTTCAAGTCGTCCCAAAACACCTCCCCTCGCCGAAGGAACTGTCCTGGGGAATAATGACATTAGAGCCAACATTTACTGAGCATTTACCCTGTGTGGTGGCATTGGGCTAAATGCTTTACTTCCATCATACCATTTAATCCATGTAAGAACCTGTTAGGGAGGTATGGTCGCCCTCATTTGACAAATGAGGAAACTGAGGCTTAAGAGAAGTTGAGTAATTCATCCAGGATCACTCAGCAACTCCGTGGTAAAGCCAGGATTCCAAGCGGAGTCTGTCTGAATCCAGTCTAAGCTCTTGGTATTATTATCTCCATGGCTGGTGAGCAAACTCACATTCAAGGAAAACCACATTATCATTAATCCATGGAAAAGGGTATGACACTTGGAAGTCATTTCCTGCCTTTTCTTCCAAAGGAAGAGCCAGTTTACCCAGGTTACTCATCAACACTCATTGTTTGTTTGCTAATTTGTTCATTCATTTAACAGACATTTGTTGGGGGCCCAGTATGTGCCGGAAAAGGTCAATAGCACTAATCAGGAGTCAGATGTATGAGTATAAATCCCAAGCTCCCTGGGAAGATTCTGGAAAGCGCTGACCACTTTCTTGGCACATTTAAAGGCTCATGAATCCTGCAGATGCTGCTTAGGCAAGATTTACACCTACACAAATTGTCTTCTTTCCCACTCTAGGGCCTGGTCCAAGTCCAGGACTCCTCTGCATCTATGCACTGGACAGACCTTCTTGACAAATTCTAGGTCAGGAAGAGAATGAGGAAAGGGGAGGGGAATAGTTTGAAGGGATGTGATAATTTTAAAAACACTTTTGTCTTTGGTAGAAGTGTGGTCTTTAAAATCATTTCCATAAATAAATGACCTCCCCACCAAAAAACTTTGAAATTTTCTGGTTGCTAACATCAACCTTTAATTGAAATAGAACGAAGCATTCTGGGCTAGGGGCTGTGATCTAGTCCTTGCTGGGGGTTAAATTCAAGAGAACTGAGCAGCAGTCACAAATCTGCAATCAATTTCCAAGACTACTCATTCAACTTCCACCTGTCTGTTTTCCTAACCTGTAAAATGCAGATACTGCTATTTCTCATCCTTGTCTCACAGGGAACAGTGATGCTATAAAAAAAGTTGACACAGGTTGATAGAAGTAGAAGCACTTGTAAAATAAGAATGTCTGAAAAGGCAAGTATCAAAGACTTACAGCATTAGAAATGTAAATAACATCTCGGGTTTGTATAAAACTGACTATCAGTGAATAGCACAAGGCTGCAAGGTTAACCCAAGTCGGAGATGCGGGTGCATCATTAACAGTCTTGGCTCTATCTGCCCAACAGGAACAATGATGTTTCAACAGGCAATTCTATTTTTGTACCTGTTGAGGAATAGGGTTGAAAAATGAGAGAATAGATTTAGTCACATTCCCAATAGGTCATGTGCATCAGCCCACAAAAAACAGGTCCTCAATCCTCAGCACTCCTTAGCACTAGTTCAGGGCTGTATGTATTGTGACAGCCTCAGTCAACATGTTTCGAGCCCCTGCTTTTCCAGGCTTTCAATAAATGAGAGGAAAAATGCCTTTGAATAGAGGGGTTTGGACCAAAGGTAGAGTCTTTGAGATAATTTTGTTTGTGGAATGATGATATAATAAACCAGCTCTATGGAACACTTCCCCTGTATACCCCAGGCCAAATCCCAATCTCATTAGATTGATAGATGCCCAGAGGCACATAAAATGCATGTAGTCTATATATAGGATGTTAATTCATCCTGGATATGAAACCCAAACCTATAACCAGGAGGAGAAAGAATGAAGTCAAGAAATTTGGAGACTGTGTACACAGCTGGCATCTGACCAATTCACAGTTCTGCAGCTGTGTTTTTTCTGTTATCACAACACATTTCATTCCCAAGGACTCAGGTAAGAGGCTGTCACTGGGCATTCATGTTGTATGGCCATAGTCAGTCATGTCTGTGAGGCCTGGATTAAAGAGAAGAAGGTATTTGGGTAAGAGTCTTACCTTCTCAGGCCCCTGGTCCAGGCTATACAAGGGAGGGAGGGTAGGTATTGAGTTGCTATCTCTCACAGACCTTAAGAGATGCTGTATTTATACTCTGTAGGGGAGGAGGGTACAATCTTGATCCTATTGAGCCCTGGAACTAGATTATTTCTATCCAGTTAATACCAGCTTAGCTGCAAAACATTTATTTGTTATTTTGAACATGGGGGATTTTACAGAGTCCACAGAGGCAAGAGCCCAGGCAGGCCATCTTCACACATGACCTACCTTAGAGCAGAGGCACTAATCACAGCACAGGGAATGGGGCAGAGGGCACAGGTGTGTCAGACGTGTGAATCATGGCTTTTCTGTATATTAAACACATTGAGCCCAGGTGCAGTGGCTCACACCTTTAATCCCAGTGCTTTGGAAGGCTGAGATGGGATGATGGCTTGAGGCAGGAGTTCCAAGACCAGCCTGGGCAACATGCTGAGACCTGTCTCTACAAAAAATAAAATTAGCTAAGCATGGTGGTGGTTCCTGCAGTCCCAGCTACTCAGGAGACTGAGGTGGGAGGATCACTTGAGCCCAGGAGTTTGGAGTTCAAAGTTACAGTGAGCTATGATCATGACACTGTTCTCTAGCCAGCCTGGGTGACAAAGAGAGACGCTGTCTCCTAAACAAACAACAACAACAACAACAACAAATTGAAGCTGAGCCAAGAAGGGCGAGACCTCCATGGCTGCCAACACAAGCAGCAGTCCAAGCTTCTATCTGGGGGTAAAGGGCACCTCCTCATTCCTATCCAAAACTTCCTTAGGAGTCTGGAAACACTTTTCCATGGTCTTCCTCTGTGTTTCCACAGTACCCTACACACGTGTCTATCATAATATGTCTTATGCTGTGCCATCATTGAACCCCTTGGCTCTGTCTCCTCTACCATAGTAATGTCATGGGCAGCTACAGCAGCTTTATCTCTAGCACCTCACAGAGTGGCTGGCATTTCAATGGAGCTCTTAAAATGTTTTTCAGAAAGATGCAATGGCTTGCTGAATGGCTGGATGACTTGATGGATGGGTTGGTGGATGGGTAAGTAGGTGGATGGGTGGGTAGGTGGATGGATGGGTAGGTGGCGAATGGGTGGATGGATGAATGGATGGATGGGTGAATGGGAGGGTGGGTAGATGGATGGATGGGTGGGTGGATGGGTGGGTGGATGGATGGGTGGGTGAATGGATGGGTGGGTGAATGAGTGGGTAGGTGGGTAGGTGGATGGATGGGTGGGTGAATGTGTGGATGGATGAATGGATGGATGGATAGGTGGATGAGTGGGTGAATGGGTGGATGGATAAATGGATGGGTGGGTGAATGGGTGGGTGGGTAGGTGGATGGATGGGTGGGTTAATGGGTGGATGGATGAATGGGTGGGTGGGTGGGTAGGTTGATGAGTGGGTGAATGGGTGGATGGATAAATGGATGGGTGGGTGAATGGGTGGGTGGGTAGGTGGATGGATGGGTGGGTTAATGGGTGGATGGATGAATGGGTGGGTGGGTGGGTAGGTTGATGAGTGGGTGAATGGGTGGATGGATAAATGGATGGGTGGGTGAATGGGTGAGTGGGTAGATGGATGGATGGGTGGGTGGATGGGTGGGTGGGTAGATGGATGGATGGGTGGGTGGATGTGCGGGTGGGTAGATGGATGGATGGGTGGGTGGATGTGCGGGTGGGTAGATGGATGGATGGGTGGGTGGATGTGCGGGTGGGTAGATGGATGGATGGGTGGGTGGATGGGTGGGTGGGTAGATGGATGGATGGGTGGGTGGATGGGTGGGTGGGTAGATGGATGGATGGGTGGGTGGATGGGTGGGTGGATGAATGGGTGGGTGGGTGAATGGGTGGGTGGGTAGGTGGATGGATGGGTGGGTGAATGGGTGGATGGATGAATGGGTGGGTGGGTGGGTAGGTGGATGGATGGGTGGGTGAATGTGTGGATGGATGAATGGATGGATGGGTAGGTGGATGAGTGGGTGAATGGGTGCATGGATAAATGGATGGGTGGGTGAATGGGTGGGTGGGTAGGTGGATGGATGGGTGGGTGAATGGGTGGATGGATGAATGGGTGGGTGGGTGGGTAGGTGGATGAATGGGTGAATGGGTGGATGGATAAATGGATGGGTGGGTGAATGGGTGGGTGGGTAGATGGATGGATGGGTGGGTGGATGGGTGGGTGGGTAGATGGATGGATGGGTGGGTGGATGCGGGTGGGTAGATGGATGGATGGGTGGGTGGATGGGTGGGTGAGTAGATGGATGGATGGGTGGGTGGATGGACTAATGAACAGAGGCATTATTTCCTGCTTCTAATTTCTATAGCTTCTACTCCTAGAAGTAGAAATATTATCAAAAATTCTGTTTTCTAAATATTGTTGGACACATAAAAGCAGGAATTCATAAACCAGGATGTTTCTCTGAAAGTGCACGGTGAGTTTGTACATCTAAAGGGGTTCGATAGTTCAGAAAAGGCTCCAAACTTTGGGTACCCAATGTGAAGGACATCCATCCAGGTTCAACTACAGCTTGTTCACAGAGACCTAAAGTCAGCTTTGATTTTCCTTGAATTCCTGCACGTTTTGCTGATGTTGGGAAGATTTTAGGAGAAGTTACCGTAAAGACTTACACTACTTTTTGTTTCTTTTTTTTCTAATCATTCTAGGAAGTGCTGATTTACCCTCAGGAACTTGGCAATACTCCAACTGCACCCACTCCTGTGGATCTACAAAGTGCAGATGGCAGAGTGAGAATAAGGATGAGAAGAAAAACGTAAAGGGCAGGGGGAGGAAATGGCAACAACAACAACGAAAATAATGTTAAACAGGAGGGTTCCCTTCTGTCCCTCTGGCTGAGAAATCACTCAAGATCCTGGTCCATTTCGGAGCTGTTCAGAACTGAGAGCTGTGTGCACACCCCAGAAAAGGACTTCCAAAGCCGCGAGGTAGCGAATGCAGGGTTTTAGCTCCTGATGTGATGAATGTGCATGCTAAAATTACCTTGATCTCCATTACCCAGCTGAGAGATGTCAAAAGAGTAAGGCTTTGGGAATGAGTCCGCCCCCGTGGCTTAAAAGCTTGCCTGTCAGTCTACCCTAAACAAACCCTGCCTTGCCATAGACAGAGGAAAAGCTTTACCCCTGGAGGTGCAGCCATTGGCTGGGTCAATTTCCTTTCCGTCAACTTTAAATGCCCAGCGGCCTGGAACATTGACGTTTGTGGTCTCCTGGATATTCACGATCTCAGGGGTTCTTGACCCCGGGAGGCTGAAGAAATTGGTGAGGTTTCCACCATTAAATCCTGCCTGCAGCACAAAAGGAAGACAAGATTTTTTGAGTACAAAAATCCCCCATGGGTTAACTGGCCCTACTGTCTTATTTTTAGAATCCAGCACCTCTAAAATCAAGAGCCCTCTTTTCCTGGAGTCATTAGGGCCAGCATTCTAGGTGAGAAAGGACTGCCTAGTTCATTTCATAGCCGAATCAGGGTGCCAAACATGGGCAGGACTAGCCTCATAGTTCACCTGCGAGATCAGACGTGCATTTCTAGTTAAAAGCCAGGATTCCCTCCAGAATGCTGAGCCACAGAAGCAGAGAGTGCAGCGACGGAAACACACGGGGGATGAAGTGGAGAGTCACCTACCTGTGCCATCACTCCACCAAGACCCGTCAGGGGGTCACCGCCACTAGCCGTCCCCGTGGTCCAGTTGATCTCGTAATAATTGAAGAGGGTGAATGTGTAGGAGCCATCAGACACCAGGACGGCCTGGAAGGTGTTCACCTACAGGATGGGAATGCGCAGTCTCATGACTTGCACTCCCCAGGAGGTCCTGGCCCCAGGGAGGTCCTCCCCTCACCCTGCGCCCTCCCCACCCACAGGCAGCTCAGAGCTGCTCTGCAGCCAGGCCCTCCAGCTCTGACTCCTCTCTGAATTTGTTCTCGCCTCCAGTGGGAAAAGCAAGACATGTGGGATTGTGCATCTAAAAGAGAAATTGCCTGAGATAAACCCAGAGTCTGACTCAGCGTCCGCTTACATCTCTGACTTCCACCAGACAGAAAATTCGGAGGCCCGGCTGAGCGTGTGATAATGTGAAAGCACCTATAGATGGCAGCATGAGAATAAACTACAGGAGAGACTCGGCCGGGGACCAGGATGAAAGCACCCATTCCCCTTGCAGAGTGGGTTGGAAGAGGGAGCAGATACCAGTCCCTGTGATTAAAGTGGCCATGTGGATTGTGCTCTCTCCCTTCCCGGAAAACAACATTAATCTTGATGAGATGTCTCCCTTTTTAAAAATCAAAGTGAGAAAGTGATTTTTAAAAAGCACTTTGTGGAGAGAAATTACTCCTCTAATTGAGCATTTGTGCATCACTTTATTTCTGCAAAATCGTCAACATTCATCTGTACCCCAGACCAATGCTAAGATCGTATTGGCCCACGCATATCTTATAGCTAAGAAAACTAGGCACTCTGGGAAATGAGTTACTGGAAATTTCACAGTGACCCAGCAACAGAAAACGGGATTTGCGCCAGATTCCCAGTCCATCTCTCAGAGCACTGCCATTCCATGCTGTCTTCATTTTAAACTTTTTAGGATAGAGATGTTATTTAAATTCATATGAAACTTGTAAACGGTTTTCAGAAATAAGCTGTAGCAAACCCTGTCCTTTATATTTTCCGCTTGCTAATCCTTACCCCTTGTCACATGTTTTCAAAAAATTTAATAGAAATAGAGTTAAAAGGAGAGGCTGCATTGACCTTTTTCTATTCAAACCTAGCACTTTTCCCTGCTGCCTGACACTGTCCTGGTTAACAGTCTGTCCGATGCAGAGGAAGACACAAATCCTTATCCTGTGTAATCAAACTGGGGTAGAGGATCTTGGAAGCCCCAAATCTCCCCATTCTAGATGATCCCAGAAAGGGAGGCAAGCTACGAGTAAGAAGAGCCCTTTTTGTAAAGAACTTTTCTTCCCACGCTCTGTGCTGGCCACAGCTGATGGCGTTTGTGATAGACTTGCTCAGGTATATGCCTTCAGTCTCTGGCCCCATTCGACAGAAGAGGAAAGTGGGACACAGAGATGAGTGAGCAGTAGGTTCAAGATTGCTGTAAGGTCACCAGCAGGCTCTTTTTCAAGGGACAGGTGCGAAGTCAAGGTCACACAAGGACTAAAGCTAGAGCCTCCTTTAGACCAGGATTCTCCTTCAGAAGGGAATTCCTTCTCCCACAACGAAGCTGGAAATATCTGGTCCAAGCAGGTCTCAAGAGCAATCCATTTCCAACCCCTGAAGTCACCTCTAAACCAACCAGCCATCCCAGTGACACCCCAGAGGCTGACGGCCACCAGCACACACCGTGGCTCACTCTCACACATTCCTACACTACAGAATTCTTCCACATTCATTCTAAGACTCTTCTGGATAAAAAACCTTTTTTGCTTCTGAGGACTTCAGCCATACCCAGAGGAGGCAGCTGAAGAAAGAAGAGTCTGGGATTTGGAGTTGGAGAACTTTGGTTTGAACCCCTGCTGTGTCTCCTAGGAGATATGAATCCTATCCTTTTTCTTGCCACTTGAAGGAGATACTTGGCCTCTCTGGACCTGTTGCCTTCCCTTGAAATTGGAGACAGTACTCGTCCGGGAACATTTTGGGGAGGGTTAAATGATATGCAAAAGTAGCCTTCAGCACCAGACACATAGTAAGCCCTCAGTAAATACTAGTTTTCCTTCCTCGAAGTAAACACGTCCCGTTTCCTTCCCTTCTGTTGGCCTCACATGAGAATTTTTGCCTGTAAAAGACCTCTCAAGCCCAGTGTTTAGCTGGCCTGTATATCGATATGTGTTTCTATACGGAAGGGGAAACATGGAATAACGGGATGAAAGAGGTGGGGCCAATTTCAAAGATGGTGATGGATGGACACTTTCACAGCTCCAGAGAAGTACACCATCTTTTTTTCTCCAAGGAGCTCAAAGCACTTAGAGGTTACCTCATTCATCCTCATAGAAAGAGTTCTCACCTAGTTCAGAAATTTACTCCAAAGTACAAGCCAGAAAGTATCTAAATTATCTTGCCATTTTTATTGCCAATGGAAGTTTTTTTGAAAAACTGGTGGTCAGCATTTGATGGGCATTTCTTCCCTCCACCCCATGCCACTAAAATTTATCGACTGCTGGCATCCCGCATTCTAACGCTATAAGATATGAGGCTTAAAGGATATAAAACATCACCCGAGGACTCGTTAGCGATCCACAACATGACAGAGGGAAATGTATGCTTCTTTAGAGGTTATTTCTAGCCAATGCATCCGCTGTTTAAACTTGTGTCTTTCTGTTCTACAGAACCTCTTAACGATAAAGTGCTTCTTGATGCTCTGGCTAGAAGGTGCTAAAACATAATGTGTTCGTGGTGTCGCAGCTGTGAACTGCAAACCCAGCACTTTTTCACCTCTCTCTCACTCAGTCGTTTTTGTTCCACCCCTAAACAATTGACTCATTGCCAAGGAAACTGGAAAACAGATGGAATTGGAAATAATCCTAAGTAAGTGGAGGGCAGATTTTTTGAGTTGTCTTTGCTTACTAGAAATTATACAGTTGAAGATGTGTCTACTAGTTCAAAACTCTCCACTGGCAAAGTCACCCAAACAAGCTGCAGGCTTTTGTGAAAACTGCATTCTGTCCCTTTATGTAGAAAGTTGATTATCTCTGCGATAATGCCAGTGATAATCTTTCTTATTTGACTTTTATTTGACTGCTCATTTGGGATTTCAGAGCAGATGTTGAAATTTTATTCATGAAACACTTTCACTGCCCACTCTAATTAACATCAAATATGAATAATTTCAGCCCTGGTCACAATAAAAAAAAAAAAAAAATCACAACATAATGAGCCAGTTCATTTGGGCCCAAACTTGGGACGCTATTTTTCTCTTCCAACCATATTTTACTGGGGAAAGAGGGAGGAAATTAGGGATGGAGGGAGGCATTTGTACCTCTGGCAAGAGAAAAGGACCTTTGGGTCCCTAGATGGGCTCCTAAGCATGTGGCCTGGAATGGGTCTCCGTACCTCAATCACTCTCCTGCAAAACAGGAATGTCACTTAGAGCGGGAAAGTTCTTGAGGGTTTTTTTAGGCATTAGTAATGATTTGTGATAGGGGTGACATATCTTCGGAAATATTACAGCTGACTGGGCTGGTTAGCTGTGATAGTTCCCTCTGTTTCCTGCAAAGTGGGTAGCAAGACTCATTAGTTTAACTCAAGGGAACTGACACTCCTTAGCTCTAATAATTAGACTCCTTCACGGTAGCGAAGATGGACAAGAATTAGATGTCAGGTTATGAAGTGGAAAGCGGAAAATTTGAATTATTACAGGTGTGGTGCTGCTGCCTCCATAAAACGTGACTTCCTCCCACGTCACAATGAAAACCCAAGTGGCAGAGAAGGTTGCCATGTCTTTGAAGTACTTCCTGATGTCCTTGGTGGCTCTTTTCAAGATGACAGGGTCCATGGTCTCTCTGTAATAGATCTCGCCTCGAATTCCATTGTGCACATCTGCCCAAAATGGGGCGATGAAGGCCCTCCCATCCGTCAGGGGAAAGGATTCCGGCGTGAACTGGCTCACTAGCACGTTGAAGGAAACAACTCCGTTGTTATTGACCTATGAAAATAAGAGAGGTTTTGCACAGTGGATCTGAAACCATAACAACTTCAGAGTCACAGACCAAGACAGACATTCGCCTAATTGTATGAATGAAAACAACTTTTAAACTACTGAATTAGAACCCCCAAATGCCGGCTTCCATTGCTTAAACTAAGAGGTTCGTTTACTTCCAGACAAACTCATTCGTTTTCTTTCACATTCGATTTGTAACTAGCTTCATTTCTGATTAATAATCAGTCTCATTTTCATGTTCCCTATCCTATCTCTATTATACTTATCAAATGCTCCTGAGTTGTGCTTGTGCATGTGTGTACGTGTGTACTGCAGGTGAGATGTGCATGTGTGTGTACTGCAGGGTGTGTGTGTACTGGGATGAGGTGTATGGGTGTGTGTGTTCTGGGGATGGGTGTGTGTGTGTGTACTGTGGTGAGGTGTGTAAGAGTGTGTGCACTGGAGTGGGGGTGTGTGTGTATTGGGGTGAGGTGTGTGTGAATACTGGAGCATGTGTGTGTACTGGAGTGGGCTTTGTGTGTGTATTCTGGGGTGGGGAGTGTGTGTATGTGTACTGGGGATGGGGTGTGTGTGTATACTAGGATGTGTATGTGTGTGTTTGTGTACTGGGGTGGGGCGTATGTATACTAGGTTGGGGTGTGTGTGTGTGTGTGTACTGGGGGTGGTGTGCATGTGTGCTTACTGAGGTGGGACATATATGTGTGTACTGGGGGTGATGTGTATGTGTGTGTATATTGGAGTGTGTGTGTGTGTACTGGGGTGGACAGTGTGTGCATACTGGAGTGGGTGTGTATATATGTATGTACTGGGAGTGGGTTGTGTGTGCTTACTGAGGTGGGATGTATATGTGTGTACTGGGCATGGTGTGTGTGTGTGTGTATACTAGGGAGGGTGTGTACGTGTGTGTGTACTGAGGGTGGTGTGTGTGTATGTATATTTGGGTGTGTATGTGTGTGTACTGGGAGTGTGTGTGTGTATGTATACTGGGGGTGGCGTGTGTGTGTGTGCTGGGCCAGACAGGGAGTAACACGGTTACTAAAGATTCAGGGTCACTAATACAAAATAAACAGGAAAAAGAAATAAGCATGGAAGTAAAGTGAAATTTGAAAATTGAGGTGCTCTATGTTAGGCCTTGCTTCCTATTTTATGATGAAAGAGGAGTGTCAGAGAAAGAGAAATCAAACACTCCGTCCAACTCCAGTCTCCGACGAACAATATTCTGCTGTGGGTGAGACATTTAAAAGACCTCCACTGATGTCACAACCACTCCTGTGCTCAGAGCAAGGACAAGGTTAAGACCTACAGATGCCCAGTTGCATTCCAGCTCATGTGGTGTGATACTGTCTTAGTACAATCGCTGCATAAAAATTGAGGCATGACTATGTTGTTTATATAAATGACTATCTTATGATGATTTCTTCATGATCTGTAAATGGCTTAGTAAACCAATTAAATAGGAAACCTTACTGGAAATCACAAGCCAAGATACACCCTCAGTTTACAAGGGACCTGTAAACAATTCAACCTCTGCCTGAATCTTTAGCTCTGTACGTTGGTAGATAAACTGATTTAACTCCGTGGCTTACATGGCTTCAGCAGCAGAGGTGCCTGTAGTGAAACTGCAATGATTGGATATAGAAAACCTGGAGATAATTTTCCTATACACTCCAATCATATGTTAATTTCCTGTTAACCAGTAACATTATGGACATTAACAGTGGCCCAGATCCCAGAGGCAAGTTATCAAGGCCTGGGCCAAGGGTAGGTCTACATGTTTGGAAGTAAGGCTTTGGGTTTGGAAGAGACATTAAGAGTCTGTTGTCTTCCAGTAATAGGGAACATCCTAGAGGCTTGAAGAAAACTGCACTACTCAAAGTGTTGGAAATGTAAGGAACAATGTATCCTCAAATAAGTCTGCCTCAGGTTAAGGACCCTCCTGTGGCAAGGGCAAGAAAAAATTCTTCAGACTCCTTATCACACAGTGCAATAGAGAAGTAAAACTAGCTTAACTGGGCTTCCAATACGGAAGTCCTCACTCCCTTATTGCCAAAATCAGGTCAACACATCCCAAAACTTAAAACCAGCTATTGCAGACTAGGGAGGCCCTGTCGTGAGTAGAGAATAAAAGGCGTTTCAGGATGTCAGAGTGAAGTGTTTGCTAGGGAACAATAGGTGTAATTAAAACACACAGACTGGCAGAGGAAGCTGGTGATGACTCACATGTGTCTTGATTATATCCTATGGTTGAGATCAGTGGTTCTCAAACTTCTGTGGGCATCAGAACCACTTGGAGGACTCATTAAAACACAGATTACTGGCTCCTCCTCCCAGAGTTTCTGACTCAGTAAGAGTGAGGTGGGGCCCAAGAAATGACATTGCTAATGAGTGCCTGTGCAACCCTGCCTCTGCAGGTTCAGGGACCACCAGTTAGGTAATGGAACAGGGAACTCTTTTCTAGCGGGAATCATCCCGGAGCCATAAATCAAAAGTTGGGAAGAGAGAGGTCCCAGAGGTAGAGATGGCCAGAGGTGGACATGCTTAGGGTTGCATTCTTCCTCCAGGGATGTGGTATAATCCCTCACCCAGCTCTTTAAGGCCAACAATAAAGGCAGGCTCGGTTGCTCTGAGTCTTCCTCTTCATGTGTAACCGTTTCACTAGCAGCAAACCCAATGATCCAAAAAAACAAAAACAAGAACCTGAGAACATAGGTGCCTAGAAGAGCTCTGATCACAAATGGGACCATTTCTTAGTGTGGGTTGGGCGATGGGATCCTCTGGCCTATCTACAGACGATTATTGAGGGTGGCCAATTCTGCAAACAACTTTGATATAATAGTTGATTACCCCTCTACTGTGTTCAGACTTTGCTTCGAATTGGTAGGAAGCCCAAGAACAACAGATGCCTAAACTTTTCACACCCCCAGAAGGGAAAGAAAAATGATATTGCTCCTACTGTGGTTCATTGTATCTTTTTATCTCATTGAGTAGCAGAAATAATGTTCATGGCATTGGGGCTTCTGCTTCACTTCTATGTTTAATCACCCACAAAAGCAATTTATTACCCTGTATACTCCTCCACCATGAACATTAGCCATTAAATATACCTTTGACTTTCTTAATCATAAAACCTATCAGCTCATGAAATCTCAGAACTTGTCGTTTTGGCTGCCAATAAATCCTCCCTTCCCAGAGCTCTGGAAGAGGATACTTAAAATGCTTTTCTTAATGACAAACAAAAGGGAGAGCCAGAGAGCAACAGCTGGGCTGCTTCTCCACTTACATAGACAGTGCGGTAAGGAACACCAAAGAAGAAAACTGGGATGGCCAACTTAATCTCAGATGAGCTTCCATCGTCTACTTTAGGGGTTTTGGTGTCATTCTGCCAAAATGGATACATGAGCTCCCTGGGCTGAGCTGTCAAGAGAGATGATGGTTAGATAGATGGCAGCTCCCTCTTCCGTTTGGCAAGCTACATCCCTCCTACTTACTGAAGTCAGTTTCTTTCAGTAAGGCTTGCAAGCTGAACACAAGTCACACTGCCTTCTCATTCATCCTAAACCTAGGCCATACACAGTGCAGTATCTTCTGCCTCTGGGAAAGGGAAGAACGGGAATGATAATATTTCTCCATAGGAGAAAGTGCTTTGTGCACGTTCTTGCACTTTCATGCATCTTGGTGATATCTATGGTTACAACTGGCTGGAAATTTGTGAAATTTCCCTGGAACCTTGAGCTTTCTGGGTACTGAGAGGCAGCCTCTAGGTCTGGCATGGCCACAGTTTTGAAGCTCCCTTTCTAGATCAAGAATTCCACTATCGTGTCTTTTCCTGAAAGGAGTTCCCTCCCTCTTGCCGCACAATTGGAGAAAATCCCAGATCCCAGAAGGAAATAAACAACAGCGGGAACTGGGACAAAAGTGGGAGGAGAGGATTTGTAGTAATTGGCCCATGAATGACCTTGATTGAGGGCTGGCCCTGCAAGAGGCTCTTTGTCCAACTCCTTTTTACAAAAGACAGACACAAGATCCTCCGGGGTCAGGGGGTTGGGTCCTTGAGAACTCTTTGGAGAGGAATTGCAGGGCTCTGACTGGTCCTCCTGGTCACGGGAGAGCTATCACACAAACACACACTGTACCCCGCTGTGACAGGGTTACCCCCTCTCCTGGCAGCCCCGGCTTGCTGCTCCCAGGTTTCCCATCCATAGTGTTGCAAGGTGTGGCTCAGTTTTGTGGGAGAAATCAGACAAGTTCCCTAGGGTCTGCATCACTGAGGATCAAGTCCAATAGTATCTGTGAAATAATCTACATTTTGGATGTTACTTTTCTCTGCCTCTGTCCTTTCTTCCCTGAATGAATATAAGACAATAGGACACTATCATTTTCTCCCTTTTTCCCTTTTTTTAAATTTCTCATTCTCGGGGGCAGCGGCAAGTCCATTCTGGGCATCAGCCACACTTCTTGAGGTACCTGCTTGCTGCCATGAGATGCCGACACCCCCATTCTCATGTCGGGCCTTCTCCCCGGGAAAGTCCCTGCTCTGTGCTGATGGAAGCAATAGGCTGGGGAGCAACCGGCCAAAGACCGTCTTTGCTCCTTTGGGAGGCTTTTAGTGAACAGACAACAGCTCATGTAAAAGAGAGTGCAAAGGGGCCAGAAAGCAGGCCTGTTGCACCAGGCCAAGAGCCCGCTCTCCATTTCTGAAGCAGGGAGCAAGAGGAGTTCTGCCTCAACGAAGGGCTAATTTCTTTCCAGGGGCTGACATCTGAGGAAAGCAGGGAAACGAATCTGGTCATTAGTGTATATGCATCGTCCAAATCCCAGAAGTTGCTGAGAAGCCGCCCGAATTTGAGCCTGTAGGAGGCACTGTGTCAGATCATAGGAGCTCTGGGCCCATGAGCTGTATTTAATTTACAACCGGCAGGTAAAAAGGGGTCTTCTAACATTTCTATTTACATAATAGTAACAAATTAAAAATTCCTAGAAGGTATGAATTTAAAAAAAAATCTTTATAATCGCTACGACAGTATTATACACAGGTACTTATTTCTCAAGTTAACAGTAACAAATTGTGTCCTGGCATGGATTTATCCTTCATGGGGAACTTTTTAGGAGTCGTGCCCAAGTATGAATGAGGGCTTAAATTCACACTGAATTATCATCATTTTTTGGAAAGATTAATTGGTATTTTGGGCTGCATTGATTGGCCAATCTGCCTAGGGAATGGAAAACCCATAATACCCCTTGGAGGAGACAGAAAACCATGGCCAGGGAGAATGACCCTAACCTCCTCTTCTGCTGCAAAGGTGAGGCAGTTTGCAAGATTCTTCTCTTTGCGGGTGATCCTAATTAGTTCACGATTTTGAATAGGAAAGAATGGACAGTTAAATATTTTTAATTTTAAGAAGGATACAAACAATAAGAATATCTAATATGGTAAATAATACTTGTCAAATGAAAAGGAGGGTGCTAAATACAAGGGCATAGGTTTAAACTACAGTAATTAACACCTCAGAAGCCATTATTATTAAAATATATATATATATATATATATAAAACTGTTAGCAGCATGGCCTATCAATAACATCAGAGTTGCTAAAAGAAAGAATATCCCTATTCATGCTTGCCCTAAGCCGAGAATTTCACAATAAACATAGCTATGTTTCCAGGATTTTTTTTTCCAACAAATAAAATGTACTTTCTTGGAGCTGGGGTAGGAGGTTGAAGTCACGGGCCCTCTTTCATTCTCGTGGGGTCTCACACTGTGGTTTAACTGTTTAAATTCACCAGCTCTGGAAAAACATGAGCGCTGCACAGGGGCTGAACACGTGCACCTCAGACTTGTGCTCACGTGCCACCTGAACTAGACAAACTCTCAAAGTAAAGAAAGGTGCCTTAGAATTTTAGCCATAAAATGTTAAAATCTATGTAGACTACTCCATCTTTGTCTAAAATCCAAAACAACAGTAGAAAAAAATATATGTGGCCTTTCACTTACGCAGGGCAATGTTACACAGAGAAAGAGAAGGAATCACTGAGGGGAATAATTATCTTATTTAACTTGAAGTTTTAGATTTGGGGGCCACGCAAAAGGTCACTGATATACAAGCCACTGACATCAATACTATTGTAATTTCCTAGTTTTTGGCCAAAATAAGTAGATTATTTAAAGTCTCCACCACAAATTAAATGCCTTAATGGGAATCAGTGATCAGACATGAGGTGCACATACACCTATCTTATCTACTTTTAATGGAAGTGTTTTGCATTATTTTAAAGATCTACTCCATTAGCACAGGGCAAGCTGGTATATACAAATAGTATTTGAAGTTAAATCAGAAAAAAGTGGGAATATAAGTAAACCTCATTTAAAGTTAATGAATTTTACCCTTGATAATAGAATTTAATTACATTTTTCTCGTGTGTCTGTAGACACACGTGCACCTGCCCTTACAATTATGGTTCCTAATAAACATGTCTCTTTATCAATTCAAGAGCATGCTAACTGAGAGCTTTACGGAATTCTGTAGTACTCACCTTGGTGCCGTACAAGTGCGAAGATGAAAGAGACCCAAATTCTAAGGAATGATGAATAATTCATCCTGGAATTTTAAAAAGAAAAAGAAAAAAAAAATCCCCAGCTTGCCAGAGTAAATAGAACACCAGGTGTGTTTGGTGGCGAATCCCAAGACCATCAATACCATCATAGAACAAATTCACGTGACAACATCAACAGTGCTGAGTCGGGCTGAAATCCCCTGAATGCTGGCAGGTCCTCCTAAGTTCAAAACTTCACGAACAAATTACAGATGCCCAGAAGAAGCCAGTCTGGAAGTGTAATGAGATCGTTCTAATTGTCAAGTAATTATTTAGAATTAGTGAGAGCAGTATGAGTAAAGGAAAGGTATCTCCTGTGCATCGAATAAAGCACCGAAAACTAGGACCCAACGCTAAAGATGCATGCGGGTCCCGGGTTGTGTCTCTGCAGCAGAAACCACACCCCGGTGAGACCTGGCTTTCCTAATTTTCACAACAGCTTTCCACCAAGATCAAACAAACGTTGGTTAAAGCACAATGTGTTCTACAGCTAGGAGAATTTAGAGTTTGCCATCACCTTCTCCATAGAAGGGAGCCGATCCATCATTCTGAAGTATTGACCAGAGTCAGGGCCAGTCTACTCTGTTCACTGACTTCACATAGTGAAATGAATGATAGAAACATTAGTAATAAAAAAAGAACCCGTCCAGAATTGGAATCACAATAAAAATAGAATCCAGTGCACAAGCAACCAATTAATTCCAGCAAGTTAATTAAAGAAGGAACACAGCAGAGATGAACTTGTTTTTGTGTTAGTTTACAATCAGTTGCACGGTGGCTTTACCCTCCATTAGGAGCACGTTTTGTCTGTGTCACTCTGCAAAGCTACAATGAGAACACGGATGCAAGCTCAAGTTAGATATCACCAAAGTGCACGGCTAGACCATGAAGTCTCCTCCTGAGAGTATTCTTAAAAAGAAAAACCTTCCTCTTATCATTTGAAGTTATCACAATTCTTCAGCCAAACTTTCACGGGAAAGGCAATGAATTTATCCTGTGAGAGTTTTATTGCAAATCTTTAGTTGTCAAGTATATATGTTGTAATTTCAAGCACATATTAAATATTAGACAGTTTTGCTGGAAACGGTACAAAGGCTTTAGCAGAGATCACACACAGCTTTAACGGAGACAGATGCCATGCAAGTTTAAGACTATAGCCCTTAGGGAACTGTTTCAGAGAGAAGTAAGAAGGATTCATTTAGATATTTGTATTTACGAAAAATGTCACTAACCTGTTCTGTAGAGGCTGGAGGAATTGAGTCAGAAATATTAAGCCAAATCTTGGTAAGCCAGGAAAAATTAGCTAAAACAAGAATTCATGTCAGTTCTCCTCAACTTGTTGCCAATAATTTCTGATTCCTGAAATGATGTCTGAATCCCGCACTCTTAAAACCAAAAATTAAGTTAGTCCTGCACTAGAGACAGGTAAGTGTTGAGTTGCAATCAAGTTTTTTTCTATTGATTAAGGAAAAGTAAATCTAAAGATCAGTTTCAGGATTGCGTAGAGAGGTTCTTTTCCTGAAAAACTAGACCTTTTTTTCCCCCTTAAAAAAAAAAAAAAAAAAAAGGTAGATTCAGATGGAAATGTCAGGTACTTGGAGCTGAAACCTTGGGCCTTTCTGATCAGAATCACTTTGCACTGAAAAACACAAAAGAAAACCCCCCTTCTACCTTTGTACCCAAAAGAAGGCAACTGTATAATGTTACAGAATTAGCATCCACCGGCATGGGATTAAAACTCCAAACAAAGCAGCTGCCTCCAACATTTAAATGAAGTTGGTTTTTCTATTAAAGTCTTTTTTTGTTTCTCTGGTTTTGAACAGTCGCCACAGATAGGCTCTACTCTATTTTTTCACAGGTATGCATGAAGTATTTAAAGAAACTTTTCCAAACTTTTTAAGTTTTATGCCCTCTCTTTTCTCTCTGATGCATCGCTCTGCAGGAGATAGGACAGGGCCCTTTCCAGGCAAAATCTAACAAGGGACCTAGTGCTAGACATGATCTTCCACAAGGGAAATCTCAAACTGTGGCCTGGAAACCTCCCCTGACACCCAGTGAGGGTCACTGGAGGCAGAGGGGGGAGATAAACCCCTCCTGATAAAAGTTTGCAGTAAGTAAATAGTTTAAACGGCATGTGAATAAGGGGAAAAACGTGCTCGGTTAGATGCTTCCAAGCATCCAGTAGATGTGGAATGAGCAAAACTGGCTAAGGCATAAGCTGAATCTACTATTCGAAATGTTTAAATGGAATTTATCAAGAAAGAAGTAACTTGACTGTAGCAGGAAAAAAACTCTTCTGTAAATCAATGGGAATTTAAAAATTATTCCAAATTTTCTCTGATCAGACATTTAAATGCCAACTGTACAAAAGACATATAATTCTAGGTTTAAGCATGTTGTCACAAGAGTGTTTGGTGAACTAAATTTTTTACTTTAAATTACTCCATGTTTTTCCAAAAACCTGTGAAAATTCAGCAGGTTTCCCACATTGTTTATTCTCTCACTGGTGTTATGAATCCTCCACACATATTTACTTACAGATGTTAAATGACTGCTTCTCTCCAAATGACTCACATTTATTTATTTTTCTTTGGATTCTAGGAGTGCTTAGAATGGCACATATTTATATAACAGAAAAGCTAGTTTCTTGGGTGCCTATCTAAAATAAAATTAAGTTCAAATCAAAGACACATTAGAGAAGGATTCTCTTTGTCCAGCCTTAGGTTTTAGTCCAGTAGTCAATCTACATGTCTTGAAGCAAAATCGTTGGCTCCGTTTTTCGTGTTAATTTACAATCAGTTGCACGGTGGCTTTACCTTCCATTAGGAGCACTTTTTGTCTGTGTCACTCTGCAAAGCTGCGATGAGAACACGGATGTAAGCTCAAGTTAGACATCACCAAAGTGCATGGCTAGACCATGAAGTCTCCTCCTGACAGTATTCTTAAAAAGAAAAACCTTCCTCTTATCATTTGAAGTTATCACAATTCTTCAGCCAAACTTTCATGGGAAAGGCAATGATCTTCCTGGTGGCATACTAATTGCTTTCTTCCTTTTTCATGCTCTCTAGGATATTTATATCTCAGCCCTTTTGACCCACGTTGGATGCTCCATCCTTCTCGAGGCAGGACTGCTGCTGGTATAAATGCCATCTGGGCATAACCAGATACACAAGATGGTGGCATACATGAATTAGAATGCCTTTGAGAATCCGGCTGCAAGGGAACACCAGGTGCGTGGGGAGACGCCAGGCTGGTTTATCACTTTGGGAAGCTGATCAGTGAGTGTGTGTTCTGGTGTACACCCAGTGGTCACAGATTGACAAAAGACAAAAATCTCTTTTCATGCTGTGTCAGCAGGAGGACTTATTTTGTTGAAAGTGTGAGGTGAGCAAAGATTCTGACAAGATTTAGATGTGGGATGGGTGGGGGTGCACTGGAGCTAGTCAACCAAGATATTTGTGCTTTATTAAAAAAATGGCAAAGTTGATGCTATTTTATAGGCAAGAGGAAAGACAGCTCAAACAAAATCAAAAAATACAGTCCTCTAAAATCAAGTAGAATGCGTTTTATGTGTGGGCTGCTTTTGTTTTTGTGTTGTTTTCTTAACTTTCATATACCTTTTTCTGTGGAACAGATGGTCAGATGTGAGCTACTTTGAAATGATGCAGTTATTGGCTATGGCAGACGTGGAGATGCGCCACTCAGACCCCCCACTAAACTCCGTACAACAGAGATGTGAGAAGCACAGTTGGCCAACAGCCTCCAGTCCTCAGCGCTTTCAGACTCAGCCCCAGTGCTGAAACCCAGGACACACTCTTCACGGGGCAGCCCTCCACCAACGACTGGGCAAGGTCAGGCTACACAGTCTAGCACTTTCCACCCAAAGCAGGACTCCCCAGATGGGCAGTTTTTGCTCTGGAGAGCCCTGTTGAATGACAAAGACTTGGTCAGGTGCTCAAGGGAAGCAGTTCTATTATACCAATGTCAAGGTCTACCTGGGAAAAACATACGTGTGTGTGTGTGTGTGTATGTACATATAATTTATTACATACCATATGCATACATATATACTATACATGTGATTTATCATATACACATGTACACACACATGTACATATAGGTATTTTATATGCTTATTTTATATACCTAGCCTCATTTGGAGGCTATCTGGGTAGATGCCTCCAAAGATTTATTTCTGAAAATTTCTGATCCTTTAGACACACCCTACTGCACACCATCAGGAACTAAAATTTCTCCCAGCACAGGAAGACAGTAGAGAGGACTTTCCCCCACAAGGCAACAGTTGTTCTCTTCAAAGCTGCTCCCACCTTCTCTCCTGAATGCCAGGCCTGTAATCTGGGCTAAGCTGCTGCATAACCCAGCCAGAAACATGCTGGGCCTGACAGGAGACAAAAGGGACTACGCCCACGAAGGTGCTGCAGGTGCAAAGCGCCAGCACGCACTGGTAGGGATGAGGGGAGGGCATACCCAGGGGCACTCTCTGGAGCTACAGACTTCAACATGGTGTCAAGAGCACCAGCGGATGGTGCAAACTCACTCCTAGAGAAGCTTCTAGGAGCCTGGAAAAAATGATGGCTCACACTGAGCAATGTTCAAATGACTGAATTACCATGGCAGATGGCCAAAGAAGGGACCAAAAGGCTCACAGATGTTTGCATGGTGGAATAGATATATTATGTGACTCTGCTAGGCCCACTGGACAATCACGTTCTATGGAAGGCCAGAGGACAGACGCACCAGCCACCAAAGTCAGCAGGAATATACTGGAGAGGGAGGCACCAGCATCACTAAGCAGCTCAGTAGTGGCTCCCTAATGCCGGCCAAGGCTAATGCCAGGAAAGGTGATCATGGAACTTGGCTCTGATAGCAACGGAGATGATGGGTCCCTGAAGAAATACAGGCCAGGTGACATAACGCTACTGTGTGAAGCCAGGGATGCTGGGAGGGCAGTCATAACTTTCGTAATGACCAAGAAGATCAGAGGGGCAGCCAAGGGGTCTGATCCTTAAAGAGTCAAGAACATGCTTAATAAAGCACAGTATCCAAGGGGCAAAGGAGATGGGCAGCCAGCAAAAGCATGGTTTCCTCTGTATAATAATATAAAAGAGCAAGGGCCAGGCGCGGTGGCTCACACCTGTAATCCCAGCACTTTGGGAGGTCGAGGCAGGCAGATCACCTGAGGTCAGGAGTTCAAGACCAGCCTGGCCAACATGGTGAAACCCTATCTCTACTAAAAACACAAAAATTAGTGGTGGTGTGCCTGTAATCCCAGCTATTCAGGAGGCTGAGGTAGGAGAATTGCTTGAACCTGGGAGGTGGAGGTTGCAGTGAGCCGAGATCTCACCACTGTACTCTAGCCTGGGCGACAGAGCAAGACTCCATCTCAAAAAAAAAAAAAAAAGAAAGAAAGAAAAAAGCAGGAATGGTTGAGAAAGGTGGAGAGCAGTGGTCCCAATAAAAAAACCATGGGCCCTGCTTGGTTTCTGGATCTGAGTCAGTTTTCAAATCTGGAATCTGTAGACTGAAAAGGTAACAGGTACCCAAAGGGCAGAACCCTCCAACACCATGGCAAATATGGTAATTTTCCCAATCTGTCCCCAAAAAGACCTTTGGCCATTTACACAAGTGACCATAGACTGGGAGAAGGAGAATGCTTAGACATTTTGAGGACTGTTATAGAAGGAGTTTGAGTTAATAATGATAAAGACTCCATTAAAGTGGGAACACATAGGGCTCAGAGAATAAAAGGAATCCTAGAAAAGTTTACAGTGGGTTTACAGGGGCTGCAGACCCGCTGGATGTTATTTTCCCAGTGCAAAGATATTACAATAAAATTAAGCTTAAATCAAAGATTCACCTAGAGAAGGATTCTCTTTGTCCAGCCTGTATTAAGGTTTTAGTCCAGTAGTGAACCTAAATGTCTCGAAGCAAAATCGTCAGCTCTGTTTTAATAAACTGCTAGCAGCATACTAATTGTTTTCTTTTTCCATGCACTCTAGGATACTTATATCTCAGCCCTTTTGGCCCATGTTGGATGCTCCATTCTTCTCGAGGCAGGACTGCTGCTGGTATAAATGCCATCTGGGCATAACCAGATACACAAGACGGTGGCATACATGAATTAGAATGCCTTTGAGAATCTGGCTGTGAGGGAACATCAGGTGCGTGGGGAGAGACCAAGCTGACTTATCATTCATTGGATTAGGAAGCTGGTCGGTGAGTGAGTGCCATTGGGATTGATGTATTAATACTTGGCACATTGCATCTTTAGCTTATAGAGTAACAACTATCATAGTAAGGAAGGCAAGTGGAAATCTCTGACACTCCCTGTCCCTACTCCGGCTAAAGTAGTCATATAAAAGAATATTGCACCCTGGGCTGTAGGGAGAATGGTAAACATTAGTATCACTCTTAAAGAAAAGGGGTGGTGAACTCTTACCATATCTTTATCGAACTGGCCAGGATGGATCCTAGAGAATGGCTATGGACTACTCCAACTTCAACCAAGCGGTAGTACCAAATGCAGCTGCTGTGCTTCAGACAGGTGATACGTGGCCATTCATTTGACAAATGCATTTTTTTTCCCTGTTTGAATCAGGAATGAGGGTCAAAAATAGTTCACATCTTATGCAACAGACAACAATATATATCTATATTTCTAGCTTTGCCCCAGGGCTATAAGTCTCCCACCTTCTTTCATATTGTAATGAAAGAGATCTGAGTCATCTGGGTACTACAGAACATCACCTTGATTCACTGTATTGACAACATCAACAAACAGGGCACCATGGGCAAGAGATGGCCAGCAGGCTGGACGCCTTAGTAACACACAGGGGCTCCAGAAGGTGGAAGATAAATCCTACAAAGATTCAGGGACGCTATTTCAGTAAAGTTGTAAGGAATCCAGTGGCCAGGAACATGCTGGGACAGTTCCTCCAAAGGAAAAGGCAAATTGCTGCATCATGTAGCCTGTCTACAAAGAAATTCTTTCTTCTTTGTCAGCTTCTTCGGGTTCTGGAGGCTACATGTTCCAAACCCAGAGAAATTGCTTCAGGTGATATGAAATTAAGCCAGTTTTGTGTTGGTCTGAGAACATAAAAGAATTCCATTGCAGCTCCAGGCTACGATGCAAGCAGCTCTGCTGCTTGGGCCATGTGTTCAGTAGGTCCTTTGATATTGGAGGTGTGTTTGGTGGAAAAAGATGAAATGTGGACTTTATTGCAAACCCCAGGGGAAGAACTACCACATAGGCCCCTGGAGTTCCGGAGCAAGGTCATGCCATCTGCAGCAAAGAATTACACACCTTCTGAAAATCAGCTCTCTCATGGGACTAGGCCATGTGATGGAATATTTGTCTAAGAGACAGTGGTCACGTATCCAGAACTTCCCATGAAGACCTACGCCTTGTTGGACCCACCAAGTCATGAAGTCAAGTGGACCCAGTAGCAATCTAGCATAAGATGGAAATGACATATCTGGGACCAATCATGAGTAAGATGCCTGAGTAGGTAGTCCAGACTCCATGTCACCTGACATAGTTGTGTCAGTACCTGCTCCCCAACCAGATCACACATATGGCTATATGTGGGAAGGTGAATACAACAAGTTGGAGGAGGAGGAAGAAGCCTAAGCCTGGTGCATGGATGGACTCAATTGGTGTGTGTGTGCGCAAGCCTAAAGCAGACACTGGCTGGCTTCACGACAGCCTCATTCGAGTGGCCTTGAAAGACAATGATAAGAGAACATCCTCTCAACGTGTGGTGCTTTGGGTGATATATCTTGTCATGCATTTTGTGTCAAAGGAGAAAGAGTTCTGAGGTTAGAATATGTATAAACTCATAGGCAGTGGTGAATGACATAGCTGGCTGGACAAGGGCCTGGAAAGAAAAAGATGGGAAAATCAGTGACAAAGGGGCCTGGATAGACAGACGAGGGTGGACATGAAGTGTGAAGATCTTTGTGTCATATATTATCACCTACCGGAAAACATCTACTACAAAACAGGAACTAAACAACCAAGTAGACAAAATGACTCGGCCAGTTGATGTAAAGCAGTCTTCATCAGTGTTGGTCCAATGGGTGCATATATAAAGTGGCTACAGCAGCAGGATTGGAGGTTATGCATGGGTCAAACAGCACGAACTTCCATTTAGCAGGCTGGTCTAGCTACCACGGTATCTGAAATGTTCAATCTGTTCAACCTGTGAATAACAGAGACCAAGGCTGAAATCCCAATGTTACTGTTGGGGAGACCATTTGGCCATTTGGTGGCAAAAGAACCACATTGGACCCCTTCATCCTGGAAGGGTCAGCCCTTCCTTTCCACAGGTATGGAGCCATATTCCAGACATGGGTATGCCTTTCTTGCCCAGGGGCCTCAGCCAGCACCACTAATGGGAGGCTTGCAGAATGCCTGATCCATAAGCATAGAATTACATGCAAAATAGCATCTGACTAGGAAACCTGCTTTATGGAAAAGGAAGTGTGGGAGTGAGCCCACAGCCATGGGATTCACTGGTTGGAGTAGTGATAGTATGAGCGGAAGATGCCAGCTGAGAAGATGCCAGGTGAGAATTGAAGTAAATTGCTTAAGGAGTAGGTGAAGCACCACCCTGAAGACAATATTATGCAAGGATGAGGTTCTATTCTCCAGGATACTGTGTACACAGCGAGTCAGAGACCTTTGTAGGGTGCGGTGTCCCCAGTAATAAGACTACATGGATCCAGGAACCAAGGTGTGAAGGCAGGAGTGGCCCTACTTGCCATTACTCCCAATGATTACTGGGGGACTTTGTGCTCCCCAACCCCTCATCTCTGGCCTATGCAGTTGGAAGTCCTGGTTCCTCAAGAGGGTACATTCTCACCAGGGGACGTGAGTCCTGCTGAACAATAAGCTATGGGCTGTAATGGTGCCTGGACACACTGGGCTCCTTGTATGCAGACACTAGCAGGCAAGAACATGAACCATCATCTCGTTAGGAGTAGCTGACTCTGATCAGCAGGAGGAGGCATGGCTATTGTTACACATTGGGTTCAAGGGATAACATATGGCACTCAGGTGACCAATTTTGGTGCCTCTTGGTACTCCCTTACCCAATTAGACTGTGATGGACAAGTGTACCAACCCTAGTCTGATCAGCATACGGTTACGAAGGACTCAGACTATAAGGAACGAAGGTTTGATTAAGGTTTGAGTGAAACCACCAGGTAAGCCACTGAGACCAGAGAGACAAAAGCCAAGGGGTTATAAGGATAGTGGAAGACGGAGAGAGTGGGTACCAGTTGTCACTCTGAAATCAACTGCAGTGACAGGGGTGTTAAGCCATTTTCCTAGCCTCCCTCTTCTAAGTTTCCTCTCAGATAGAGAGGCCCACCAGAGCCCTAGAGGAGCTGCCATTGATCATGGATGGAAAATTGGATCTACACATTGCATGGAGTGGACCGTGGCAGACACTAAGATGCAAAACTCAGACCCACCCTCAGAAAAGGGATGATTTCCAGCTACAAGGTGTACGGTTAGCTGACAGCTTCCAACTGTTGGCTCCTTTAGCATCTATATCAGTTCAAGCTGAGGTTATGTTCTTGAAGCATTCCCATATCAATGATTGAGAAAAGTATTGATAAAGGGCCCTGGCCATTTCTGGCCAAGGTAGGACTCGTCTAATGGAAAATCTGTGCTCCAGAGCATCCTATTGGGCTGACTGATTCAGGTCTGTAGCATGGTCTGATGGTCCATCTCACTCAACCCTACTTCTTCCCCATTCTTTCACAGGTGTTACTCCCCAACAAACTTTCTGCACTCCCAACTCCACCTTAGCATCTGCTTCCCGGACAACAGAATCTGTGACATTGATGTCTCTGATAAATTTACAAGCCCTGTACAACTGTTTTGCTTCACTGTATGAACTACCATGGAGTCCAGATAGTTCTGTAATACAGTTGTTTCTACCACTTATCCACTGAGTGAATAATGTCTAACCTCCTAGATCTAGCTCATTAAGGTGATTACATCTAAGGCTATATTTACATTCTCCCTGAAAATGGTAATGTTGTCCATAACAGGATCCTCGAAATGCATGAGGTAATGGAAAAATGAAATTCAGATTTAAAGCAAACAAAATTTTAACACAACCAAGACAGTTCCTATTGTCCTAGTTGTATTCCCTAACAATGGAATAAA